TAACTAGAAGCAGTACATACTATCATGTTTGTTAGTGTAGGCAATTAAGTTTTAATATTCCATACGGCTAAATTAAAGAAATACCGTACATTATAAAACTTATAGACATATTAAGTAAAAATGTTATTGAATTTGATCACTTTAATAATATGCCGACCGTTGATACACATTTTTTTTCTTTTATTAAGCTATAGATATGAAAATATTTACGTAAAACTACATGGCAAAACAATGTATCCATTTTCAATTATTATTATTATTATTATTATAATTTTACGGCTTAATGACCGGGTTGGTATCTAAGTTTGGTCCTTAGACTCTTCAAATGTCTTAGAATTTTAAGCTGCACCATAAGGATTTATTCTACGCTGGTGGCCATAAGAGGTGGTTGGAGGAGGTGGGTGAAAAATATACAGTTGAAAGAGATGTTTAAAAAATAATAATATATGAACACGTGAAGGTACAAAGGTATTAAATATAAAATAATAATTGTAAAGATGTAAGAAATGACAAGATAAAGTAAAGTTTTCAGTTTATATTCGATTTAAAACATCCTGCCAAAAATGTTAATACGTTCGCTTCAAGACTAAAAAATAAAAATAAAATAAAAATCTTACACAGAAGACAAGTGTATAATCTTAAAACAAGTTTTTTTTCTACAGAAACTAAAATAAAGTAATATTTTAAGACGGTTGTAATCTTTAGACAATAGAAAAACGATTTTTTTTGAGGCACGTCATCCATTCGTTTGAAAATGTGCCATCATTAACTGTTGAATAAATTATCATGAAGAATATTGGTTTATGATGTCAATTAAGTAGTCACACTTAAATGTGTATTAAGTAGTTTTTAAGAATATAAAAGCATAAAATACATTGAAAATACTATAATTTAATAATTTGAATAAAATAAATACCTAACTTTAAACGCTAAGATATTTCATTAGATGTGAGTTTGCAAGACAGCTGGGACGAATGAAATGTAAAATATAAACATATACTTAAAAAAATAAATTAATATAATAAATATTTAATTTGATGAATTTTAAAATACCGTATCACAATAATTCGAAATAATTTAATTAAAAAATAATAAATTATATCGTAGTAGGGCCCAGCGATTTTGACGAATCATAAGCCCGAAACACTTTTTCGTTGTATAAATGTATTTACGATAAATTATAAATCTCGGTGGGCAAATTACTTGTATGCTGTGACGTATTTACTGCAAGTGCGCGGAATACATTTAAATCTGATTTATTAGTCCTCCCAAACGACCGATAGTGACCAGTGTCATTATGGCGACGGCATGCGTATCTACTCGTACGTTAATTATAGTTGATCAAAGTTTGCAGGGATTCACAACCACGGTAAATCCTGAGGCACAGATTTGCCATGGTCACTGTAATAACATTAACAAACGTGTATAGACCCACCCGATTATGTTTGATGGCGTGATTTAATAGATAATTTTTATTCGACGTATGTTATACATACAAAATATATGTACATTATATTGAATAAATAACATTGTTGGGATTGATGTTTATAGTTTCATTAATAATCAATAAATTTACTCGACAATAATGACTACTATACTATCTGTAAGTATAGGTTACATGAATATAACAATTTACTAATATATTGAATTCCGTTTGAAAATTTTAAATTTATGATAATATAATATAAATACTTCACACTTAACGTAAGAATAGTGAACCAAAAGTAATTTTCATTATTTTATTTCCATTCGTAAGATGTTATCGAACATAAAATGTATAACGGATGTAATACATTTAAAGCCATTAAGATTGTATGTTGATTTATATAATATTTTAAACAAATATTATGGTTTTAAGTTTATAAGTAAAAGATTATGATTTATTTTCATATTCAATGAGAGACATTATGTATGATTACGAAATTACCATTTAAAATTTAAATCAGTTTATACTAATAAAATAAAAAAATAATAAATTCATATATCTATTTAATTATATAAAATGTTAAAAATTGAACTGGGTAACATAAATTCTATTTTATAAAACACTATTTTTAATTATTTTATATTATTTTTTATATATATTGTTGTATTTGAAAATTATAAAATTAACATCAACAAACTATAAAAACCCTATAAGAAAAAAAACAGTGTTAGAAACCAGCGTTTGAAAGTTTTTAAAACCTTAGAAACTCTAATAAAACCATCCAAACTCGTAACGTAATACAATACCGTATAGTTTTTATCGGTTTTCCAGTAGATATTCTAATAATCAATCGTAATTAATATTTTGACTTCAAATCGTCAAACGAAATTATAAACAAATAATAAAATTAAGCATAAAAATTACTACTAAAGAAAATTATAAAATAATTAAAAATATCTTAATTTTTGCCAAAACATTGTTGTAACCCAATAAATTAGTTAAATATACACTTATAACATATCATAAATAATATTCTGATAATTATCATTATGACTTTTAAAATTCAATGTATGACAGTGGTGGCGCGAAATATTTTATTTCATAAGTCCTGTTAGGATTTTGCCTACCCACCCACCCACCTAAAAAGAAATTTAAGGGTAGCTTGTAAAAAGAGCTCCCTCACTATTCGTTCTACATACTACATACCCACTCGATACCCAATGGTCAATACCCACCCACCTACCCATCCACTGACTTGAGTCCAGGGACTCAAAAATCTGCCGTCACGCCGTCATTGGTGTATGATAACATTAAACAAAATGTGAATCAAAAATAAGTTAACCAGTGAACATTTAATCACAGGGTAGGCCTGCAGATTTTATTTGCTCAGAGTTTTACAGCCCAGGATTAGATTTAATGGGATTAGAAGTAACGATGAAAACTAATATTTTCATCTATTCAGTTAACCTTTTATCTACTCCAGACTTTATATTATAATACTGTTGTGTAAATACCATTTTATGAATTGTTATTTAATGCAATTTATACTTTAAAGGTTCATTTTTTTTGTACGATATGTAAACCACTTACACATAGAAATATATTGTTTTGTGTTTTGATTTTACTCGAAGAATGCAATAAATAAATCCAATACGATTTTTTTGATGGCAAAAATAACAAGTATAAATAGTTTATTCATCTCATAATAATTTCAAGTGTATTAAACCGTATATGTAGTACATTGTAGACCACATACTTAACTAAATTAACAGCAATGGAACGATGAATATCTATTTTTATTTCAATATTTAAAAGGTCTATGATATTTAGAAATTGTTTTGTTTTTTGTATCTGTACCAAAATTATTTAAAATTTTTATATTTTTAAAAAAATAAAGGTATTTTATTTTAGGTAAGTTTCTGATTGTAAGCCAAATAAATTAAAACATTTACGAAAACAAACCCTATTTTACGTGTTTTTTTTTTTTAATCCAGATTTCCAGATATTGTGAACAACTATAGTTAGGTAATTCTTAAAGAATTTTCCCTTAATATATAAAAAAAAAAAAAATAGAAACAGATTACGTAGAATGACTATTATCGATCAGTATATAGAAGCTTTCGGAATAACAGAGTAAAACGAACAAACACGAACTACTTTAAAGGACTGAAACGGACGTCATCACATTGATTTTTGATTAAAGAAAATAGAAAAACAAAAAGATAAATAAATAATAATGTTCTAACCTAGTCGTGCAATATTTATAGAAGCCAATTCACGAGAAAACGAGAAACAACAATCGGGGCGAACAGTTGGAAATAATTCAAAACATTTCTAAGAATATATGATACAATGATTCTATTTTTTATATTTACTCTGGGAGATTTTTTTAACCTTAAATTACTGAACAGCTTACAGATTGTGATCTAGTTATAGCCGAATAGAAAGCAATTTATACATATATTTACACGATGTTAATTTTTTTCTCTTAAAATATAAGTTTAAATGAGCTAGTAAAATATGAAAATTTCGTTGCGGCAGAATTTACCAGTACACATTTAGGTGGAAGGTTTGGATGGGCATTCTCCATTAAAATACAAGACAGGGACACCATTCCGCTAATCTACATTTTTAGAAACATTAATTGTTGCTTTCGAGTAATATAAAAAACGTATACATTCTTAAACGACACAACATCTAACCGACTTTTTTTTTATAATCGTAGATATGCAGAGATTTTTAAAATAAATTTTACAAGCATAACGCTGCTGCACAACTTATATTTATAATACTTCAGTGATTTTTAAATAATTTGAAATAAGCGTTTGTTTGTGTGAATAAGTTTCTCTCGAGAACATTTCAAAACCTGGATTTTTTCGTCCCTTTACAGGTGTAATGTAGAAAGTATACTTTGAGTATATCGTAACGGCTAGGGTAAAGGTTCTTAACCTTTTGAGGCATATGCCCCCTTTCATACTATTTTACGATGTCATTCCCACACATAATTAGATCGAATTATGTTTAATATAATATATATTCTTTTATATATAATTTTATTTTATTATTATTATTTATTTTATATATATATAATGTATACATTTTAATACATATACCATGCCTTTAATGTTGATTATTGTATTATATGATAATATGAAAATCAATGAAGTATTTTTTAAACATTAAATGAGTTTATTTGCTAGAAAACAAATATTATTATAATTTAAAATTATTAAAACGAATTATATTTTATTCACTTTCTTAAATATTAAATTTTAAATTTATTATTACTAAGTAGATACAAATTGAGAGGGTTGACACTACATAGTTTCAATTAATTGTGACTTTATACCGTTTCAATTAAATATAAAATTAATTATAAATATTGTTTTTATGTTTAATTGTTTTTTAAAAATGTTTCATGCCTCCCTGAAATTTTATCACGCCTCCCTAGGGAGGCGTGTCCTCATTTTAAGAACCACTGAGCTAGGGTATTTGAATAACACAAAACCTAATCAATGCTAATATATAGGAATAGAAAATATAAAGATTATTGGCGAGATGAACATGCACTTACTTTAAAACCTTTGTACCATTCTTTGATGGTTGCTTCGTCGTATCTCGTGTGTGATTTTAAGAAATCCATGTCTTCCTTGGACAGCTTGTCTTTGCTACCGAAACAACCCATGTCTGCAACACAAAAAAAAAAAAACGATCAAATATTTGTCTTGGTGTTGATCGCGCATCAAATAAGCATTTTCAGGATAGACCTCGCGGGATACTGCGGTTTCCGTTCAAATTTAATCTGGGTAAAAAATATCTTTTTTATTGTGTTTTTATCAACAGCAAGTATGTATAAGTATATCGCATGTGCGTTGCACGTAGTCGTACACCTCTAAATTGAAAGTTTCCTGTCAAATTTATAAATACAACACATTCATGGCGACAATCAAATCACTTGACCTCAATTTCAGTAATTAATGTGTGTATTTATTGTCATGCAAGTTCGGGAAAAATGTTTTCTAATCGTAATGTACGAGTATTGTTCGATACATTCTGTAGTAACACACACGTTGTAACACTTTTTTTTGAAAGCGTAAAAATATGTTGCAATAATCGTTTTCGTACATATTCATAAAGTGAAGTACGATTCAATACTTATATACATCACATACATAATTTGTGTAGTAATACATCCAAAAATACACACACACGTCCACATGTACACGTACACATATACACAATCGCGCAGATTTATCGGTCGTGTCTCACATATGCAAGTCTACGTCTGTCATCTTATGACTCAATGGTTTTGATGGATGTTCACGATTCCTTAGATACCGCGACGCTCTCAAACTGGATTTGATAAAACGAGGGACTGTATAAACTATATATGCTCGTAGCAAATTAGTAATTGCAAATGGTTCGTACATTTTAATTAATTTTACGGCTGAAGATCTTTTACCTTATTGAAAAACTAATACATCGTTTGAAAAGAAGAATTATATACATTTTCAAACGTATGACATTTCAAGATCGTATATCGAATACTTGTTTCTAGGATGAAGTTATTTTCCTCATATACTTGTATATAGTAGTGGAAATTGCGAAGACTTTCAACGTAATCAATTAAATTATATAAAGAAGAGCTGTATAGGTCTTATGTTATAATCAATATTATTAATTCCAAAATATAACAAACAATATTTCACATTGAAAAATGAAAAATAACGTTGATGAATATTGTCGATAAAAAATATATATTCTCTTTTGTTAGGTTGATTGAAAATTAATTTTCTCTAAATGAGTGTAAATTAATTTATAAAAGTTTGATCTTAAACTTTAGTATAATAAATTATAATGATCTCTACAAAGATAATTAGTATTTATTTATTACTAACTATTTAGTTTTCGTAATTTATTAAGATATTTTAAATACAAATACGTTTTGCATCACATATAAATTAATTAATAAATGGAAATTAAATTAAAAATTAAGATTCGGTAAATAAAAATGGCATTAATTCAAATAATAATAATTATTTAAAGTCATTAACTGTAGTGAACATTTGTGTTGTTTTAAATAGGGAAAACATCATCATATTAAAATGTAATACAGTACTATACTAAAACATTATTGCAAGCATCACTTTAGCAGTGCCCATTTAAAAATATACTTTGTTAATGTTAGTTGGAAAAATAATGCCCATATTTATATTATTATGTAATCTACTAATGGGATTTAAATTGAAATTTCAGCAAATTTGTTAATAATGTAATATTAATAAATATTTATTCAATTTCTAACTTAACAGAAAATAAATACATAGTAATTTCTGTTCTTTTATACATCAAATTATTTGAAAAATATGTAATCTTAAACTGAGGGTTGAATATTGATTTTAGTCATTGAATCTCCGATGAGGTTAGCATGGTTATTTCCGATAAAAATGTCGTTAGCGTAATAAAGGCCGGGGTATTAATTTTAGAATGAATATTGCTTTACAGTTGAAACATAGACATTAAAAAGAAAGAGATTCATCAAAATTTCCTGGTATCCCATATGTCGAGCAGGAATTTTTTTTTTCAAGTATAAGTGACGTAGAGTTATTGGAAATTTTGCGGTCCGTCGAATTGATAAAATATCCGAGGCCGAGTTAATTTAATCTGACGTGAGGAAGACCTACCACCTCTTTTCATTTGTGGATTTTTTTAACAATATCAACATGCAAATATTGACAAGTTCGACCGTTTGGATATTTAAAGAAGAAACATATGTAATTTAGAAATACATAACACGTATGTACGCACAATAAAAATTCTATAATAATATCGCAAAGATAAATCAATTCGATATCGGCAGACGGGAAATGTTAAATTAATTAAAACGATGGCAATGTAGGAAAGTTGCTTTAATTTAACGGAACATTAAATGTTTTTTTTTTATTTTTAACTATGTGAACAAAGTTTTTACTAATAAAAAATAATAATAATAATACAAAATAACGTACAGAATTCAGTTTTTGTGAACAAATGTCTTTAGAAGTAATCGATTGCGGATGGGAGTTTTGTTACAAGAATGGTGTATACCATAACTATGAATCGAGATCGCAAGACATCAAGCGTGGAAATAAGTCGTCTGAAATATGAAAGTTTTATTTTACTCACATGTAACTGTGTACTATACTTAATATATATCGTGTAGTGTTGTATATTTCGTATATACCTTTGTGGAATGCAGGGGCGGATCTAGAAGAAGTCGATGGCCGCCCCCGTTCTTCAAAAGTGAAAAAAAAACTTTAATTAGTATTTGAGGTATTTTTTTCAATATTTTAGAGGTACCGGTAACGGTTTAAAATATATTTGAAATGAATGGAATATAAAAATAATTAAAATTATTGAAATATATTTTAATATATTCCATATAAATAAACCATAGAATAAACCGGGGGCGTGACTTTTGCATTTTAAAAAAATAGACCCCCTCTCTCCGTTATATTGGGTCTGGATCCGCCCCCTGACCGGATGCAGTAACGCGTAAATACCGCAAACCTCTATACGTATATATGTACAAAGTTTTACTGCGTATATATGCGAACGTAGAACAAATAACAAAAAACGTACACGTTTATTATGACGTATACGATGGTGAGGGCGAGACAGGGGATGTTTGATCTCACGTACATTGTTCATGTTGTATTTGTATTTTATACGCGTTTGCGTTGTGGACCGGAAGGTATTTGTCGAATTGAAATATTGACAGCGTCACGCAGAGCAAACCGACGGGAAACGAAAACAGAAAGAAAAATAACGGAGAGAGAAAGAGAGAGTGAGAGAGAGAGAGAGAGGAGAGATAGAGGTGGTAGCATTATTCGTGAGTATTATATTTCTCTGAAACGCAATAGTAATAATACTCTGGTTACTATTATTATATTATGAGAAAGTAAACGCTCAAGCCAATGGTCACGGCCTTAGCCGTTGTTGATGTTATAAAAAATTGAAACGCTTTTGTTTGTCCGAAGTCTGACCAAACCGATTTGTATTTCTATAGTAAATAATTGAGCGCGCGAAAACTGTTGAGTATTAGTATACATACTCTTGTACACAAAACCAGATCGATATGACGTGATAATAGAGGTAAGAAACTGCGCATTATTGGCCGCCGTACTCGGATTACTTGGCAAAAACCAGAAATGATGTAAGTTTTCAAGGGGTCGGGAATCGAAATTTTACGAATACGAATATGTAATACGTACATGCACACATTCAACAAACGGTATACCCCTTTGCGCGAGTGCGGCTTCGCACCTGAATACTTATACACACGAGCGCGGTTTATGATTCTTAGCACATCTACAGTTCGACGTATCGCACACTTCCACGGTATTGATGCTGATAAGCATCGGCCAGTAAATAATAATAATGGTTCAATGACGGTGAAACAACCCTCTACATGACAATGCGCTCTGGAGGGACTAATGAAACCCTCTCTTGTACGGCAAACATTTTCAAACACTCGTCAAAAGAAAACTCCCTGTGGTGGACATCCTTTTACGTACGAATATTTGATGCGAGGTGGGGTAGGTACACTAGGTTTTATTTCATTGGACTGAGTATCGTCTTCGTCGTATTGTACTTAACTCGAACGAATAAAATAAAAACAAACGCATTCAGTGCGCCGTAAAAACGTAAATGTACAGATGCGAAAGAAAAAACAAAAAATAAAAATATATAGAAGGAAAATTCAAAACTGCTGAACAGACTAGCCGGAAGATGCCATAAGTAAATATCACGTTCCGGGAACATACATATGTAAGTACACGTTTTCATATACTAAACATAACGTATAATCATATAAAGTATAGAAAGTATATATGTATTTTATGCACGACGAATGGATAAGGAATAAATTCAAACCGGCCGCTAAAATTTTCGAGAACAAGTCGAAAGGACTATTTATAGTCTTCCCGTCACTATAGTATATATATACATGCGTATAGTGTTCTCTTCTTTAGGGTAAAACTTATTCGAGAGAAGAGTAAAAAAGAAAATAGCAGCCAGCCATCTCCTTTCCCCACGAGCTGCATTTCCATTGTCATCCGACTCATATAATATATATAGACTTGCACAATAAAAGCTAACACTGCGGCGTTTACTGAGCACTATAATATATATACACATTTATTGTAAAAATCGGTCGATGTTATTTATTTATTCGCTATAATATATTCTCCAAATATCAATGTTACGTCTGAGAAATCGAAAAAGCTGCCGAGCGGACTCCGACGACAATAAATGTTATAATTTATAACCTGCAATGGCTGGAACCCGTATGAAGACTATACGTGCGTATTGGAGACATTTCAGAGTGATAAAACTATACTAGCTCAAAAGTGATAAAAAACAAAACAAAATGTGACTCAATATTGGATTTTATAGGGGTTTTTTTCTTACACCAGTTTCGGTTGCTTTAAACCGGAAGAGACTGCAGTATATGGTTGGTCTTGCATATCTGTTAAGAAAAATCACGATTGATGGGTCAAAACAGCATTAAAAAATGTAAGCTTTACCGGAACTCGAGGGAATATTCAATATTCATAAATCACATATTTCTCACAGCACATCGCAGTCAACCCCCTTTTCCCCCACCGAAATATATTCAACGATGGATAGAATATACACAAACATAT